ATTTACGGTAAGAGGAATCTAAATCATGTAAAAAAAAATGAATTTGACCTTTTCCGCGCGTCGTGAGCGCGCGCAACGCGCGCGGGGACACTTACGGACGGAAAATTTTGAAATGCTTAAAATGACCTGATTCGTACTCACCTTTAATAGTTAAGTGATTTTGAGCATTTTTAAATTTTGACGCGCGCGTACGTGCGCGTCATGACCTTTTTGTGACCTTTGATGACATGACTTGTTGACCCTTGACCTGAAGTATATGTGATATGAATATGAATGACCTTTGCTTATGCATCATGAAGATATGATGGATAACGTGATTTCACAAAATGGCGCCTGGATGACGTCATGATGACCTGATGACCTTCAAAAGGTTACTGTCACGTCTCATGACAATGACCTATGACTGTGCCAAAATTGAAAGAAATTAACACAACCGATCTTGAGTTAACCGATGAACAAAAAACGGGGAGAAATAAAAATAAATAATAATAATAATAAATAAATAAAGAAAGAAAATTCTGACGAAAACAATAGGTGATCTGTCGAAAACGACAGACCACCTAAAAAGAAATATACTTGTAATGTGAGCTTTAGATCATACAGTGCTTGTAACAATATTGGATTTTTTTTTCTTCTTTCAATTAACATTTTATTCATGAACAGATGGCTTATTGGAATTGGTTACAAAGATGCAAGTGGACTTGTCTGTAGTAGTTGCTGAAGAGGAGCAGTCAGCATAAGGAGCGTGTGCCTCCAAAACAACGTGGGAACTTCTCCCAAGTTCATCTCAAATCACAAGGCTCTTCAGGAATCAAGATGTAACAATGGGGGTTGAGAAGGAGTTTGCGACCCTCCTGATTTGGACTACTCGCTATATACATTCTCAATCAATGGATTGTAGCCATTCTGCACAAAACTCAACAAGTCATGATTGAGAAAAACGCAACAAATACTCGGTTAAGCATTGATTTATGTGACTGGTATTAGGGTAGGTTTCAGCTTGGTAATTTTATATTAACGATGTCCCAAAAGAACCTCATTGGTCCTTATGGTTCCACGCCACAAGCTGCTCCCTCCCCTGTTTCGGTATACCGTACTCAGACTATCAAGGGATCAAATGAATTAAAATCCACACTCGATTACAAATGAATTGATCTTTTAAATATTGTCATCATTTCAGGGTGGTCTTGGTTACGGGTTAGTGTGAGCTTTCTGTGCGTAAAATTGAGGGTACTTCGTGCGGAGATCAGTGGATGGATATGTCATGTACAATGCAAGAGAGGTGTCTATCTTCATTGGAATTCAGGATTCCAATGAAGATGCCTTGTTTATAAGGAGAGAAGCAAGATAGATTGATTTAAACTTAATGACATCAGGGAATGTTTTCCTATATTGTATGAATGACACTGATATTGAATAACGTGAAGTTAAGTGGGTAGAATGGCATAATATATTCAATTTGTACACCATCCTATTGAATTTTTTTTAAACAGCATTTGTGCACAGGTCTATGGAAAACCAGTAGGTGGCATATACAATAAGATCATTTACTGCAGCTCAAGGAGTACCGTAGATATCACTTACCGCAGTTGCTGCTATTTGTGCCCACATGCATATTAATATCAAGCAGTTGAAGCTAAAACTAATATAATCTAATTAACAGGGTTTTTTCCAATTATCATAACAAGAGAGAAAAACATACTTTTATAATAACTTCCATTATTATTATTTGATCCATGAGACCGAGTAGTCCAGCCCTTGTGAATCTGTATGTTCTCCAGATTTCATTGTCAGGGCCTATCAGGGGGCGGATCTAGCTTTTTGCTAAGGGGGGGGGGGGGGGGTTGACCCTATGACGATGCAGAGCATCGCCCACGAGCCGCATAGCGGCGAGGCGATTAACGCATTTATAAGATGGATTTTCTTTTTTTTCTCTCTGTCTCGCTATCTCACTGCATTATAAATTTCTCATTTCCACGACATCAACATCTCTCACCATTAAACAGTTCTCTCATTTCCTTTCCTTTCTCTTTTGCTCTCTCTCTCTCTGAACTCTCGCGTTCTGTTTCCAGATTTTTTCCACATATGATTCCATTTATCCAACCATATATGCACAATAAAAAGGAAAGATATGAAGGCAATACTGTATATAAGATAATAAACATGTTTAATTAATTCATTTTCTTACAACAAACTAATATGTTTACAGATTATAACATTGATGGTCAAATATTAAACACAAATGACCTCATCTGCTACTTCCATTTGTAGATTACTTTTTTCTTTCAAAAATTCAACAAAGCATACTTATGCTTTAATCTGAGCACTATTTTTTTTTCTCTCCAGGAATGTTTTGTATCATGACCTGCACCCTTATTATAAAACACATTATAAAAACATGCTGATTTCTTTAAAAAAAAAAAAAAATTACCTATGACTCAATGATTGCAATTTTTTCCAGAGAAATAATAATACTGTACGATAGTATACAACTTCCTTTAGTTAGATGGTTACTCCGTGGTCCACACACGCACCAAGGTATATCAGACCTTTTATTAACAGTTGCTCGTTATATACAATATATAAATCATACTCGTAGGCCCATTCCCAAATGTTAAAATTATTATCAATAAACAGAAATTGATAAAAGATGACCCCTCCCCAAAACTCTTATATTCCAAAAGTTAGATCTTGGCTGACAGGTGGTAACTCGAGTACTTGACTACATCTTATTTGCCCTATAGATGCATACTTAAAATGGATGCCTTGGCAAAGCCTCAGTTTTATAAATGATTGCTTGACTTAGACTGCCGATGAACATATTTCTTGTGTATTTATCTACACCATTAACTTTTCTCCACATCGTGCTGTCAGATTGAGATGCTTTGGTGTGATATACTTAATGTTTTACATCATGTTTTTAATGAACTCCTACCTTGCTTAGTTATGCAGACATTGGGCACTTTTTTTAAAACTTGCGATAGCAGTAGAAAGGATGTGCATAAAAGAAGAGGCGGGATATCCATACTACTACCATGTACTACTACAACATGGGTAAAATTGCATCATTGTATTATACCTTGGTTCCTGGTTACCTCTCCTTGGTAGTTTGAAAACTATGTTTCAGTACCGGTAATCATTGTAATAGTGTTTCCGTTTCATGGTGTCACTGGTGTGGTTGTGTGTACGAAGGCCAAATTTTCTATTTTCCTGCCTGTCCACAATCACTAAACAATTTAAGCTGAAATACAGGGCCTAATATACAAGGTGATTAAAAGGTGAAGTTACACGTACTGCTTGAAGAGAATTGTGAATGATATTTATCTATTGGGAGTTTGACCAAAACCAGTTTTAAAAATTTCAGCTTTGGGGGGCACATTACCCCTCACCCCCCCCCCTGCCCCCTGTGCGCGCAATTGACTGATGTCTTCCAAAGTGGGGGGGGCACCAACAAAATAGGCACTTTCTGGAGAAAAAAAGGGCACCTACAAAGGGAATCTCAAAGCAAAAATATCCATTTTTTAAAACAATGGTATATACCCCTACATTGTGATTACATTATCAGGGACGATTTCAACATTTGTTTCTCTTTATACACCATACAAGATATTGCTTAAGTATCAGTTCGGTGTGATGGTCTGAAAATTGATTTACGAGCGAGGAAAATTTTAAGTTTTGTGAGGCCGCAGTACACAAAAATTGCATCTTATTAAGAGGGAAAAACCCAATCCTGATGGGATTGTAAGCACATTCTCACAATGGAAGACTGGAAAGACCTTTAATAAGTAACGTTATTATGTTATCTATAAATGAGAGCGAGCTTTAGGGGAAGTTACTCTTAGTCGCTTGAAATTAGGGGCGCGTTTAATGATGAGAGGAAAAAGGGACACTAAAGGGATAAGAGGAAAAGGAGCATGTGTCATGTAAAAAGGGTAATTATCAGAGGTGAAAATGGGGCACTTCTTAGACCTACAGAAAGATGCACTCACCAGGAATGAAAAAAGGCACTTATGAGAATGGGAAATGGCATTTTTCAACGGAATAGGGGCACCCATCAGATTTTGATAGGGGCATTTATGAAAAGGGGATAGGTCCCTTTGGTATTGGAAAGGAAAAGAGGCACGTATCATTGTTAAAAGGGAATTTATCAAAAGGTGAAAAGAGGTACTAGTCTTATTGCGCCTGAAAAGGGGCACTGACCAGATAATAGATATGAAAAGGGGCACTTAAAAAAAAGGAAAAAGTGCAATAGTTTTAAAACAAGGGAAACGCTCTCGGCGGTCTCGCCTGCATTATGCAATTTGAAATGATGAAAAATTGAGGTCGGAACATCATTTATAGGCAGGGTGGCCCATTAGCAGGCCCCCAAAAATGAAATCCTCTGAATATAATCATCATTTTGAAGTGAATATTGACTAAGAATTTTTTTAAAGAAAAAGAGGCACATGTTAAAGTAAACAAGGCACTTATCAGAGATGAAAAGGGGTAATTATGAGAAGGGTAAGGGGCACTTATAATCAGAAAAAAAGAGCATTTATTAGGAAGGAAAAGGGGATGTGTCAAATAAAAGTGGCAATTATTAGAGACAAAATGGGACACTCATCAGAGATAAAAAGAGCACTGATCAGGAAAGGGAGGGGCACTTATCAAAGTAAAAAGAGTATCTCTCAGATTTGAATAGGGGCGAATATCGGAGATGAAGGGGGCACTTATCAAAAGTGAAAAGGGGCATTTCTCGTAGTTGAAAAGGGGCACTTACTAGAGATTAAAAAGGGCACTTATGAGAATGAAAAATGAACAATTATTGCAAAGAATAATGGGAACTTGTCGAAGGATAAGGGGCACTTATCAGAGGTGAAATGGGGAAGGGCACTTTTACAAATTAATAGGGGAACTTGTCAAAGTAATATGGCACTTTACCTATGTGAAAAGGCCATAAAAGGGGCATTTAGGGGGTACTTGAAAAAGTGGCACTGACCCCTGACCCCCCCCCCCCCCCCCCCCCCCCCCCCCCCCGGCTAACAACATATCTCCGCCACTGGTTATGAGGTTTATAATACCAAGGTTTTGATACCCAGTCGCAGCTCCAGCAGTTCATTGAAGAGGCTAAGTAGAACTTCATAGTCCACACTGTACATGTATGTCTGTTGAATGAAAAGAGAAGAGAATGAAAGTAAAACATTGATACCTACATCATACATGTATCTCTGTTGTAACATAAAAAAATGTCTTGCATTGTAGGCCTAGGCAGGGGTGTCGATTTGTATCCGTTATTGGGGGGATGATAGGTGCCAAAATATTTTCGGCAATGGATCAAAGCACCCAAGAGGTAAAAGCGTGTGGGAGGTTGCACCCCCTCCCTTCCAAGTTATTAACTTTTTCAATTCACCCTCAATAAAGATAACAGTTCAGAGAATATAAGAGTGGTAATAAAATTAATAACATGCTAAATTGTTAGTCCTGACTCTTGCCTGCAGTGTAGGCCTACCCAGGGGTGTCGCTAGACTTTTTTCAGTGGGTGGGGGGGGGGGTGTAGAGGCCAACGATTACCGACAAAACTAGCCACCAATTAACGACAAAATTAAATGTCTCAATATCTACAAATTTAACCCTATAAACCTGGGCCGAAGGCTAAATTTTTTTCCTATTGACTATCTACAATAGTACTTGCGTATGCGCAAATGGTCATTTTCCTCGACGACATAATAATACAAATTATTTCGTCAACTTAATCAGCCTCATAGCTATATATTTTAATGCAGGCGCGGAGCTAGGATCTTATTTTAGGGAGGGGCGGTAGTGAGCAAGCGAATCACTTAAATAGCGCGCGAAGTGCGCTCATTAGGGGGGTGTGGGTGATAGGCCTCCCGCGCAAAGCGCGGAAGCTTATAGACGTTTCCTCAAATTATTAAGAAAAGAAGATGATTTGCTGTACCGGTCTCGACTGTTAATCCTTTTCTGAATTCAGTTCGCGCGGGAGGAAGTTTTGCGTTCCATTTAATTATTAGAGAAAGCAGACGATTCGTTGTACCATTTTCGACTCATAATCCTTGTCTGAATTCAGTTTCCCCCTTCCCGCGAGAAGTGCAAAAAGTTTAGACGATTAATTTAACTATTATAGAAAGAAGACGATTCGTTGTATCGTTGTTGACTCTTAATCTTTGTTTGAATCTAGTTTCCCTGAAAATTTTAAACCTCTGATTTCTTTAGCTGATATTATAGGAAATTGAAACTTCGAGAAATACAAGTATTGTAGTTGTTGGGTAGAATATAAATATGCCGATATGGGTAACGCATGGGGAAAATCTGGGTTAATTAGAATTCAATTTATTCTTGTCTCATATACGGTTGTCTCATTTACTTCCTTTTCTATTTATATTATGTATGTATTATGAAAATGAGATAGCAAAATGTGTATATTGATGGTCATCTTGCGAGTAATAACCGTTGACTACTCTCATCAGGCTCTCATCATTAATTTTTCTCTTTTTTTTTTTTTTTTTTGATGGTGAATTATTAGGGGGGATGATTGTACAGGCCATCCCCCCCCACCTGAAATATTGGGGGGGATATATCCTCCCCCCCCCCCATCCCCCCTGGAATCGACACCCATGGCATGGGCCTAGTCCTCAAATTTTCTCATGTGGAATCATACATAGCCATCCCATTAATACATTCTTCTCAAACCAGCCCTTCGCATCCCCTCCAGCTTGGCCTTGACCTCACTCATTTCAAAATTTTGTTTTACTTGAAAAAACTAAGCAGATCAAGTTAGATCAAAAGTAAATATGTTTACCTTCTCTTGTGGTGGTCTGTTTTCTCCAGGACATTCTTGTTTCAAGCACATACTCCAAAAAAGCAAGCATTTGGTACTGCATTAACTGCGACAAGTCTCTCTGTACATTTTCCTGTAAAAGAGAGGGGGGGGGGATTTAATTCTTAGAATAAAAGGAAATGAGCATGATCATTTAAACATTGATGAGCATTTGCAGAATAACTTTCTATTTTAATTTGGATTTTCTCTTTACCAAAAAAGCCCTCCTTCAGTATCTAACATTGAAATTTATATTCAATTTCTTGATCCAGATCTAGTTGATCTACAGTCTCTAGATGATCTAGATCCATGTCTCGTAACTGTTTATTCTATCAATTTGAAAAAACGCAAAATAGATATGGACCTAGATCTATATATGACAGAGAAAACTTAATCGTGTTTACAGCAAACAAAAATTCAAAGATAGAGCCTAGAGTAGAGGCAAATTAGGCTAAGCCAACAAAGAGTTTAAGCAACACACAGGCACCACTATACGTACCCCTGTATACTATACGATGTAGTCTAGACTGAATAATTTTTTTTTGTGGGGGATCGTGTTTTAATTTGTTAGATAGCTACAAGACTCTGTACGACTACAAGTATCACATTCACAGGCAGGCACGGATCTCAGGGGGCCGAGCGGGCCTTGGCCCTCCCGCCTCTTCCCCCCCCCTTCCCCCCCCCCCCCTCCCCACCCGCAAAAAAAAAAAAAAAAAAAGAGAGAGAGAGAGAGAAGGAAAAGAAGGGGAAAAAGAAAGGGAAAGAAAGAAGAGGAAGAAGAAAAGAAAAGGGGGAAAAGAAGAAGATCGGGGGGCCGAAAAGGACCTTGCCTCCCAGCTGTAACCTCTGCCCCTCCCCCTATCAAAAAATTAAAGAGAAGGAAGGAAAGGGAAAGAAAAAAAGTAAAGAGGGGATAAAGGGAAGGAAAAAAAGAGGAGGAAGAAGAAAAGAAGGGGGATATACGTTGCAATTTCCCCGCCAACAAGTTGTAGTTCGGGGGGGGGGGGGGGGGGGGGGCAAAGGCCCTTGCCTTTATATGCTCATCTGACCGTAATTAAATGCCTATACCCCTGAGCTTCTGGGGTTCCACCCCTTGACCCTCGCAGGTTCTTCCCCCTTAGACACCACGCCAATTTCACAACGCTCTACCTGATCGTAAATACCTCCCCCCCTCACCTACTTTGAGAAATGTTTAGCGGGGCCTGCATGTAAGAGTGGGGTGGTGCAGATTTTTTTGTCTACCCCCCCCCCCCCCGTTTTTGCTCATTTCGCCACTGCCGGTGTCACTATCACGTACCAATATTTGGCTTCCATAATTTCAAATTTGGGCCCCCCCCCTAAGAAATCCTGGATCCGTGCCTGTTCACAGGTATAGTTCAATTTTTTACTGGTCTGTAGGCCTAGGGCCGGCTAGGCCTTAAATTTTCTACTCTCGTACTCGTCTAACCATCTCAGTATCTGGTCCAAATTTTGGCGCTTGTTCACAACTCATGTCAACTGTGACCATGCTTTTTAGTGTTAGCTATTAACTTTCTTCTGACCCAACTATGAAAGTAGTTATTCAACAGTTGGACCTAAAAGTAACAAAAAGCTTGGATCATTGTTGCAGCTAGCGCTAGTGAAGTGATCTGCCAGCTGCGGCTATAGAACCTATACTCGCGTATCTAATTTTCAGAGAGGGTCTCGCCCGAAAGTTTGGGCCAAGGATCAAGGAGTGACTGGCAATCGAGCTGAAATATTTCTCACGACGATAAATAACGCATCAAAAGTTCGAGTGTAGATTACTCCTAAAATCATCAGATATAACCATTTTAAACCACTTCATAATGTACAGACAAATCAGCAGATTCATACTATCGTTAGATATGTTTATAAATATGATTCAATTTACGAGATTTGAACGTAATTACAGCTGTACTCACCATCAAACTTTCAAAGAAAACCTCGAACGCTCACTCTGTGTGGGTGACGTCATATATTAAATATCGTGCAGCGAAAGTCTTGTCTTCAGATCAGGCAATCGTACATAAAAACTTCCATCACAGAAAGAACAATTTCTTATTAAAATAATGAGGATGATTACAGTTATCAATCATTATACCCAAATCTGCATACAAATAAGAAGGAGAATAGTGATACAGAGACTTATTTACTGCACGTAGGATTTCTGATAAGAATGCACGAAGAACACAAAATGGAAAGGTGCCTGGAATAGAGGATAATATGGGCAGTCAAGCTCATGAATATTCATATTATGGGCGTTACCAACCATTGATATTTGCATACACAATCATTATTTAATATATAATGGAAATGCGCTTTTCATTATATATTATATAATGGAAATGCGCTTTTCATTATATATTATATAATTGAAATGTGCTTTTCATTATATATTATATAATGGAAATACGCCTTTCATTATATATTATATAATTGAAATGTGCTTTTCATTATATATTATATAATGGAAATGTGTTTTTCATTATATATTATATAATGGAAATACGCTTTTCAGTTTTCATTATATTTATATAACGGAAATGTGCTTTTCATTATATATTATATAATGGAAATACGCTTTTCATTATATATTATATAATTGAAATGGCTCTTCATTATATATTATATAATGGAAATGTGCTTTTCATTATATATTATATAATGGAAATACGCTTTTCATTATATATTATATAATGGAAATGTGTTTTTCATTATATATTATATAATGGAAATACGCTTTTCATTATATATTATATAATGGAAATGTGCGTTTCATTATATATTATATAATGGAAATTCCATTATAAATATATAATGAAAAGCGTATTTACGCTTTTCATTATATATTATATAATGGAAATGGCTTTTCATTATATATTATATAATGGAAATGTGCTTTTCATTATATATTATATAATTGAAATACGCTTTTTATTATATATAAATAATGAAAGTGTGAATTGTAATTATTTATAAATAATGGCAATTATATATAAATAATGAAACGTTCTTTGTCATTATTTATAAATAATAAATGTGTTAAGAATTATATACAAATAAAAATGTACATTTTCTTGCATTATATGTAAATAATGGTTATTATTTGTTAAATAATGATTATATAACATATAATTTGTCTATATAATTGTTTTACAAACGGCGCCTCATATTCAATACACAAAGAGTGTTCATTATGAAAATTAGCCAAACTGATCCTGATGCAGTAAAGAACAAAACGCAAGAACAGAACATGGTGAAGATTAGTTTATAGACAACCAAAAATGGACAACAGGTGTGAAAGAGAGAGAGAGAGAGAGAGAGGGGGGGGGGGAAGAGGGGGAGAGAGAGGGAGAGAGAGAAAACGAGAAGGGTGAAGTGAGTGAGAGGGAGATGGGGGAGAAAGGGGAAATGAGAGAGAGAGAGAGAGAGACAGAGAGAGAGAGGGGGGGGGGGGGGGGCATCCATTTACAACCTACCAGCAGCACCAATATCAAAAGAGGGGGCGGATTACAATACGCCCATTGCTGTAAGGCTCAGGGGATTAGGCACGTTGCAACCATTCCCCACGCGCCTCGAGTAATCCTCTTACTTGATCCAACATGACACTAATCCATCTTGAGATTAGGCTATAAAACACGATGAAAACAAACATTTCTGGATCTTCAACGTGTTCGACAGGAGTAGAAGAATGCTTGGAGCGGGTAGGGGGCGTTCCCCTCATATTATTTGCCTGGAAAAGCCCCCTAAAAAACTGCTCTCAAGAAAAGAATTAAATTGAGATTTATTTTTTAGCTTGTTGTCAGAGAATTTTTAGGACAACATATTAAAAGGAAAGAAAGTGAGAACCTTTCTATTTTATTTCCTTCTTGCCTGTCTAGGCTTTTGGAGACCTATGCTCCATGACCATGACAACATACTCTGGTGACGCTCTTGTGGAGGGTGGCGGGGGTGGGGGGGGGGGGGGGGTATCAAGTTGGAAACTAAAGTAAATTTAATATATTTCGGCTCATTCATTCTACGATATCAAGCATGATAGCGCAGTTTGAACTTCGTTTGGAATAACATTAAACAATGCACCGATGGCACTTAGACAAATACAAATTTGATCTATTTCTGAAATAGATCGATTTTTGGTGACAGTTTAGTTCATCGCAAGCATCCACACAGCATGATGAACATGGAGAAGGAAGGCGAGGGGTTTTACTTTTCAATAATAAGAAAAGGAGAACATTATTTTGACACCCTTGATGACTGAGGAAAAAAGGTACTCAAAAAGTTTTTTATAAGAAAAGAACGAAAAGATGGAAAAACATGATCTGGAAAAACGACACCAATATGGCACGCGACCACGCGAGGAAGTAGATCAGCGTTCGCGTGTGATGTATGCTGGACCTTTCACGGCAGACGATTGACCCCAAATAACATTCATTATAATTTCTTTATGCGCACCTTACGAATTTTTTTCTTCGCGCGCTTATACACGTGGCTCTAATCTGCGATTTTGTTCTAATAAACAGACCAAAACAATACCACGGACGCGCGCGCCTAATCCCCGAGGGATTCCCGACCTAATGCCATGCCGATACCCGATGATGGAGTGGAGCGAGAGAGAGGAAATTATGAAATATGAATTTTATTAGCCAAGTGTAAGGTGAGAAAATTAAAATGGATACACCTTAAGGGTCATGGATAGGTTAGAGAAACAATGCTCCTTTCTTGCCTCTAGGTTTGTTCCAGTATAACACGCCCGTATCACGTGGCTTGCATAAAATTCTCACTTTAATCCAGATATTTTGTTCCTTTGATAGGAAAAGATTAAAGAAGAAATAACTGCATTTAAACTGCGAGCAATAAAACATCTTTTTACTTCACATTCCGTTGATGCTAAGTCACTACCCATAAAAAAACATTTTCGTACACCTCAAAACTATAGGCCATGCTTCCATCTGCCTAGTATTATCATTTCAATTGATTCATGATACGCTTTCTTAAAGGCCCACTGCACTACTTGTAGCTACTTGCGCCCTCTATATAACAAACCATGCCTAATCGGTGACCATTGGTCCCCCATGATCCTCTTTTTCTTATGTTAACTGAGAGCTGAGTTGATGAGATAACCACCTGTCCAGTGACCTTGCAGGGCAGTCTAATCCCTTCTGTAAACTATGGCAGATACGCTTTAAATCATGGTATTGATTACTCCTTTCATGGTTCACAATTTTAATCGCTATCTTATTTTTATAGCCTACATGTAGAATATAATTCTGTACTTTTTCTAAGTTTGGGTCTGTATATATATATTTCGAATTCAGTTGTAGGGATAGTTGAGTTCTGTTTTCAGATCGCAAATGCCTTCAAAGTGCGTGGTTATTGCTCTTATTCTTATCTATGACATTTCTAGTGCCCTTTTAGAACCTAAAATTGCTATGAAGGTAATTTTAGACCCCAAAATGTGTGAAATTTAGCCAATACGAGCATATCAATTCAGCTCCACTTTCAAAAATACATGGTGACCGTTAATTAATTATTTAATTAAAAATAACAATACATAGGCCGGCTGGTTGTGCGTAATATAAGCAACACGAAAATGCCAACAAAAAAGCCAACATCGGCATTCGCTGAAATACGACGTAAAAGGCGTTATTTCGTTTTTTCAAAGGTTTTTTTTTTCTCAAATTTTTCAAAATACCTAATATTTGTGATGGTACACAAGTATTAGAAATCGTTATATTTCGATTTTGATCAAACAAAGATGATTTTGTCATTTAAATACTATGTTCTTTCAAATTTGACAGTCAGTTTTTCATTATCTTACAAATAAAAATATTTTGTGTAGCGCCCTCTGCAACAGAACTCAACTATCACTTTAAACCCGATCCTTGATCTAAAATCATGTTTGACACTGCTCGGACTAACTTCCTTTGTCACCCCCGAATATTAGCCGAGCGGTGGGTTTTACATTTTTAGTAGAATACGTACCTAAAAGTAGGCCAGCCCCCTCCTCGATCAAGGCATGTTGTTCAAGTATATATATATTTATTTTCTGTCGTTTAATGAAAGCCCTACGGACATCTGTCACAGAAATTGAGATGCAGTTCATGTTTCATTATGTTTGGGGATCATTGTTTGCGTTCTACACCCGTCATTCGTAATTATATCACTTCTATACTCTATATTCAATGAGATGTATAATTTATTGGTAGAGACGAAAGTACATTTTAAAAGCAAGGCCGTAGTTGCCTGGTTTCGAGGATTTCACCCTTGAACATCTTGATCATATCCTTGATACATTTCTATCCTCGCTTCTAGTTTTATTGTATCATGTTGTTGGATGGTTTCGTTTTGAGCTTTTGAAGTGTATTGCAATACTAATAACACCAGGTGCTAAAGACAAGGGCAACTTGTCGAATCTAATTAGTTCCTCTCCATAAAGAGCAAGACAGTTTCATTGATTCTTGCCTTTAAAAACACCATGCAGGGGCGTCGCTAGAACATTACGAATGGGGGGGGGGGGGGTGGGGTATTTGCGGACAAAAGGATGATTAGGTAAACTGTCAACCTTCATCTTAGAATCCACAGTTATAACATAATATGGTTTGATGAGGATTGCAAGAGAAGACATTGTGTGAAGACATAATCCCAAAGAAGGTACATGCCTAATACTAATAGAAATAAAATGGTTTTCAAAAATTTCTGAAGCCCGATAATACATGACAAACAAACAAACCAACAAAACAAAGCAAAACAAAAAATGGGGGAGTCAGGTTTGGTAATCACGTCCAGATTCAATGCCCCCGTAACGCCGCTCCTGGTTACCCCAACACCACCATAAGCAAATCGAGAGAAGATGGGTGATTTAGTAACCCTTTTCGATCCCGTGTTTCCAACATGTGTTCTTCAGATCATGTTAATGATGTAAACAAGGATACTGAAATATAGGTTTTCTAAACAAATTGAGCACGCCTGACCTATATCAGTTCCGGTCACCACCATAATTACACCATCCAAACTTCCTCGAGAAATAGCGCGAGAAAATGAAAGAAAGTATAGCCCTTCCACCGATTGCCCCCCCCCCAAAAAAAATAAAAAAAAATAAGAAGAAATAATTAAGTAACGAGTTTAGTATCCAGAATTCAACGCCGCCACGTAGAGCATTATGTGAAATGTTACGATGTCAGTTGTAACAAACTTGTTGTTGAAAGTCACACCAGCATGAACACAGTCATATTACGGTCCACTGGTA